TATTTTCCTTTGGCAGAGAACTTGAATTGGTGGAAGCATCTTACTATTCTGGAGCGTTAAGGAGAGATTTGGTAAAGATTCGGCTAGTCTGAATGTGAAGAGTATAGCAAAGATTGTAGGTGAATGGAAACTGGGAGAGAATCGAGACTTTGCACTGGAAAATCTTTCCATGTGAAGACAGTTGGTTCCAGTGGTGGGAAGCTGCTTGGATAAAGGTGTTCTGTTATGTAACCTATCTCTCAAATGTCTCTTCTATTTCAGAGAAAAGGGCCTCTCCTGGAAAGTAGGTTATCAACTTGCCTGTCTTTCCTGATTGATTAAGCTAGGATAAAGGAATCAATATTACTGTATTTACTCAAATATAAGATGACACCCCCCCCCTCCCCGCGCATTGGATTTGATATGTGGAAAATGTTTAAATTTGTTATAACTTTCCAGGTATAGAATCTAATTATTGGAGGTTTGCTTGAATTTGCTCCCTTCCCACTGCTACAGCAGAGAAGATTTATATCTGGGGATCAGGTGTCACTCTTGCTCTCTGCCACCCCAATTTCTTTTTCTTGCAGCCCCTTCCCCATGCCTCTTGCTGTCAGACCTTGGTCTCCCAGAGCACATGGAAGTGGAATTTGGAAATAGTGACTTTTTTCATAAACATGCCTGTAGTAATTTTCATGTAGGTAAATTATTATGGGTACCCATAGACTTAGTTCACTCAGAATTGATAGATTTTTATCTTTTCTTTAAACTGCTGCAAGTTTTATCACAGCTACTTCATAAACATGCTTTCAAGCAGCACATTAATGTACCTGCTTGCCTGTAGTACAAAATCTGCATGATATTAGTCCAACAGCAAAAAGTTCATGGTTTACCAGATAGTTCATTGAGCTATGATGACCCCATAGCTCAGCACAGTTCTGTGTGTGTAAGTGTAATCTGGATACCCCCCTAACAAAAGGTCTGTGTGCTAATTAGCCCCTACTTATAACTGTAATTTGTGTTCTTGTCATGAGTTCTGAGATCTTCCAAAAATGTGTAGGTAGATGAGGCACAGGGCAGTCTGGTCTGGTTCTGCCTCATGGTAGGCAGGGCCACACTAATCATATGCAACAGGTCGAGAGAGGGGGCAACAGAGGGATTCTGGGTGAACTGTTTGGGGTCCTGTTTGGCAAGGTTTGCCAGACACTTGAGGCTGGTGAAGAAACAGGATTCATTGGAAATGGGAGAGCAAGGTACATCTTAGCTGTGGGAGTAAAAAGGAAGTCAAATGTATTCAGTGTAGTGGCTCACTATGACTTGAAAAAGAGTTGGTGCTGAGGGGAACTGAGCACAATGGCCGCCACCACATTTTATTCAGATGGGCTGCATTAATGTATCCTTGTGGTTGGTTCCCATCAGAATGTTTGCCCAGTATGGGCCATGTGTGTTACAGTCATGCTCAGTGCTGTTTTCATTTAATTAGGTCATAGTTGGTTTCCATTCTTGAGCACATGCTGTTTTTGGCAGCAGTTTAATGAGGGTTGTATGTAAATTTAAGATGAATTGCCTTTTTCCCCATGCTGACTGGGTCTGGGAGAAAACTCAACTTTAGATTTGAGTAAATATAGTTATAAAAACTAAATTTACCACTGATGGTGAGGCTTCACCTCAGTGGATTGCAATGAACAACTTTTTCTTCATTATTATTTTATGTTATTGCAGCTTAAACATATTTGATATGTGTATTATTCTATGCCTGTCGTTCATTAACAAGATTCCAAAATCTGCAGGCAGTAAAAAAAAAAAAAAAAAAAAAAGGTTTTTTGTTTTTGGGGTTTTTTTGTAAATTTAAAAAGGAAAAAAAAACTACCTAACACGTTTGCTTGAATGGGGGGG